TATTTAAATTATTTATTTAGTTGAAAATCTGTCATTTATGGGATATACCATATTTTTACCGATTAAATTTAAGTTAAATATTTATAAAAAAAGTTTGATAAAAAGAAGTAATTTTATGTACCTAAAATATCTTTAAAACTTATCCTCTCTTTCACCGGTATGCTCCTCTCTCTCTCACACACTTCGGCCCTCTCTCTCTCCCCCTCCCCCTCCTTCTTGCGCCTGCTGGGGGTGAAAATTGTGGAGGGTATTTAACACCCCCACACATTTATTGGGGGGAGGGAATTTCAAACCCAACCCCCAATTTTCCACTGCCCCTCCTCAACTTTCCACCCCCTCCAACTTTTCACCGAAATATTGATGGAAAGTTGGACTTTTTTTTTCATAAAATATTATAATAAAATATTATTATATTATATTATATTATATTAGTTTTCAATTAATTTTTTTTTTAGGATATTACATTAGACATGTCGGAACTGGTTGTCTTCTCGTTCCATGGTAGCGTGTCTTGCTCTTACAAATTAAACCAAAGAAGAGTGCTTTGCTGAAAAAAGTATATAGCATTCGGCCACATAGGATGACTGTACTGGGCTCTAAAATCTTTTAAAAAGTTTGCAGCATTTTTATGGTGGGTTCTCAGCAGTTCAGATCCTTCTTCATCACCTGCACAGGGTTCGTTGCGTCGTCGTCTTCTTTTTCCCGTCAACTTTTTTTCCCTCTTCACCTTCTTCGCCGGTCATCCCATCTTCTTTGGTTACGTGGAGCCGAGTTGGAGTTGCCATTCTTGCCATAGAGGATGACTCATAATTAGCTGGAAATGACAATGACCATAATATAAAAAATACAAAAATTAAGGGACTGAGTCATAAGCAAGTTAAAAGTTTAGAGACAGAGTTGCACCGAGTCATAGTTGAGGGACTGAGTTATAAGTGAGTAAATAATTGAAGGACCAAAAGAATAATTTTCCCAAAAAAAAACAGCATCATATATTTTTATTAGCATAAATAGAACTAACAGCTACAATATGTGTAAAATCTGTAACTGAACATGATAATTCTAAATCTGACAAAAACCTTAAAGTAAATGCCAATTATTTCTTCATTTTGCCTTTTTCACAAGACTAATCTTATGAAGAAAGTGACTAAGTTAATATAATCACCTTAAGTAATAAGGAAAGTCTTGGAAAGCTTCTTTGCATTCCTTCTCATCAATAACCTGCCTCATAAGTTCTTGCTTAATTTACTCATTCCAGAGCTCTTCTTCCTCATCAGAATTCCCTCCAAGCCCTGAACTGAATCCAAGCCCTGCTCCAAAACCAACCCCAATACCCAATGCTGACAGCAAAACATTCTTTGCTCCATATCTTTCCTGCTTCTTTTCATACTTTTTTTCTGATATTGTGATAGAAGAAGATGCATACGTGGTCTAAAGGCTGACACTATTGGGTCAGATTTAAGTATTGTTTGGTATACACTAGGCAGCTCTACTAAAGATGTCTTTTATGTTCATACGGACTCGAACCGGAGGCCAATTTGGTAGAATAAGCCCAGGTGACTACTAAGGCAGATGCCTATTATTTGGAGATGGGGATTAGAGGAACAAAGAATTGGTGGCTGCTGCTGTGGCCTATATGTGACCCTTTTCACCTCTCGCCTCCATATATACACGCGTGTGTGTGTAGAGAGAGAGAGACACACACACACACAAAAACATAGACACACGCGTGCCTTTTGTAATATCCTAAAAAAAAATTAATTGAAAAGTAATATAATATAAAATTGTGTAGATTAATTATTGGTTAAGCAAAGAATTGACCTTGTGGTAATCCTTAGTATTGCTTTGGAGAGAGGTAACCACTTTCCACTTGTTATATGTGCTAATATGTTGTTTGTGAGTATTTTGCTGTTTTTAAAATAATATTTGATATTTGGAACTTGAGTAGATATGTTATATCTTTTGAGCTATGAAAATGTAATTGAGAAGTTTGGAAAAAGATATATGATTATATCTTATGGATTATACTGAGAAAAGACTGAGACATCTTAGACTCTGCATGTAACGCTCCTTCGAAAGTGTTGACTTTTGACTAATGAGCTTTATAGTTTATATTAAACTGATTTATTAGTTCGTATGTTTGAAAATATAAGTTTGGTTTGGGCTAATGGTTGAATGATATTTCTGAACTTTGAAAGTCCAACGCCCAAGGTAATGATCGATGTTACTCTTATTATAAGTGTATTTTTTAACCATGATAGCGATTTTAAATTTTAAGGTTTCTTCTTTTCTATTATAGTTAATCATTTAAATAAATTGTTGGATTTAATCTAAAATGGTTTTGAAAGAACGGTTGTCACACTTTGAGTTGGTGGCGTTAAATGAATTCCAAGAAGACAAAGAAGCTTTCTTTATTTTGTTTTCTTAGTGTCCAAGTCTCACGCTAATTCCTTAAAGCGTAGGAGAAAATGGAGAATTATTCCGTCTTTACCATGTGATACTCAAATATGACCGCTGCTTTGTTTGGTGTTTAACTGAACGGTGCCTTAAACAGAAAAGAAAAGGGGGGGGGGGGGAGTTCTTGTCCAAAAAAAGTTCTTGTCCACATACAGTGAAACTAATAAAGCTGGAGTTTCTAGTGCTAGACAATAATCTTTATATATATATATAAATATATATATTTGACAAGAAATCCTTTAAAATTCAGTAATACCTTAGTATTTATAAGTAGGCATGATTTTTTTTATAATTATTTGAACCATAATTTTTTGAGGTCTGGGTCTTTTTTAATAATAGTAAAATAGCAAAAAAAAAAACTTTATAGCAGATTTTAATAATAGTAAATTGGTCACATTTATTTATATATTATTTGTGTAAAAGTATAATAATAATTTATAAAATATTAAATTTGGATTATTAAAATATTGATCAAGGGAGGGAAAGGAAAAAGGAGTCCATCCCATTTCCACAATTTTATATAAAGCGACAGAGACAACCCATAATGTTTTTGGTCAAGGAAAAACCATCGTTGACTCTATGCCAACGTCACCAACCAGACCTTACTCTTTTAATTTTTTTTAAAAATTAAATATTTAATCCTAATATAGCGTCAAAATACGTTATCTTATTACTTTTGTCAGTAATGTTCATTTAATTATTTAACTTCCTATATTTATACTGAAATTATGATATCCCTTATAATTGTTTTGTTTGTATTTATATATCAAAACCATTAATTTCTTATAATTATAAAAATTTAACTTGATTTTTAGTATTATAAAGATAATTTTTTTAAAAATAGTACCAAGTCTTAACTTGGAAGCAGGCATCATGTCTTTTTGATAAAACAATACAGAAGGATATCAGGACAAAACCATTTGTAATTGTTAATGAGCACACAAAATTACAGCTAGAACAAGAAGAATATGTATTTTTTTTTTTTAATTTTTCAAACATAGAGGAAAGAATATGATTTAAGGAACCAAAATAAATGTGAATGAAGCCAGTTAGGCGCACTGTATCAAAGCAACAAGTTAAAGATGAGGTGATTAGGTATCCAATACTTATAGCTCCTTTTCTTATTCCCCTCTGATTTAAAAAATAAAAATAAAAAGTTCCCACCTTTTATCACTTGAAATTTGACTCAGTGGGGTGGCATTGGGTGGAGAATAACCATATGTATAGACTTATTGCCCTTAATTTTTTTTTTAAAGAATGACGTCATTATCAATTTTCATGAGTAATAAGCATTAGATTCAGACACGTGTCCTAAAACATACGCCTTTAAAGAAGAGTATATGTTTGTTTTTTTTTGTTTTGACACTGTTATATCTTTTAGAAGTTTTGTTTAGTCTTTCCTATAAAAAGTCAACGATAAGTTGTCTTAACGGCAACTCTATCCGTCAGGCTTGAAATAAGTTTTAGGCTCAAGTCTAATGGTGACATATTTATATACGTGTATGTCTAATTGTATAAAAAAAAAAAATATTTCCCATAAAAGACTATAAAATTTAGTAATGCGCCTAGGAATTTTTTCCAAGAATACTCAAATATCATAGTACCTCCTATCTTAATCTAGTTTGATTTGTAGTCCAGTTAGTGAAGATTTGGAATGAAATGTAATGGGACGTTTTGTCCCTATGTTTAGTTTTATCTTCTCCTATTGTTATTCTTCGGATTAAAAATATGAACTCTTATTTTATGTGAGACGAAAATGGATATTGCCAAGTAGAAGGCTAGGGACCTAGATTCATCATTTCTTAGCCATCATATTTGTCATTAGAGAGAGGATTCCAAGAGAGAAAAGAACATTAACCAAACAAACTTAGCAGACCCTTGCCCCAAAAAAAAAAAAAAAGTCTTAGCAGATTTGCGGTTGCGTGGTTGGCACAAAATCGGAAGTAACCCAATTATAATTAAAATGATATAATTTAATTAAAATATATAAAATAATCATATATAACCTTGAAATGAGTAGTATTTAAATGAAGAGATATTAATCTACAAGTAAATGGAACATTCATGTATGAATGGAAGGAAGCAACCCAATAGGACGTGTGAATACAAGTTTCTCAGGTTTTTATACATCCTCTCTCACTTATATATTGTGTGCAAATATACCGCAGAGGCCATGATATTCTTTTCCCAAGTGATTCAGCAATCAATCATGTCTCCATTCAAAAGAAGAATAATCTCGTTCCCCTTTTCTAATGCAGAGATTTCCCAAAAGGATTTGGGATCACAACAAAGATTTTAATTTCATTTGGGGTAATGATTTCTACTTTGAAGCCTAACAAGATCAAACTATTAAATGCGTTTAAACGCTCACATGCACAAACAACCAAAAGATATATCTCAAGCTTACTTCTCATTTCTCATTATAGTCTTAAGCAGTGATAGTGTCTTGGAACTGTCCTCCAAGCATAGGCGTCAAAATGACAATGTCTTGCTTTAATAGAAGTTAATCCGATGATATCAGAGAAGGATATTAACTGAAATACATTTAACTAGGTTTTATTTTTACGGTAAACCATTCTCCTACTAAAAGTTGCTCCAACTGGAATTCATTTAAGTGATATATCTACCGCAAACCTCGTTCTCCATACAGCTCATTCCACTGCTTCAACTGATGCATAATTAATCCGCAAGCATCAAAACTTGCAGGAACCTGTGGGAAAATTTAAGATTTAGATTCCTCTACATGCGTCATTAATAAATGAGTAGGCTTTTTCAAGGGCAATGAAGAAAGGACATTCAACAAATATATGATCTCTTGTAGCAATCTCAGATTTACCTAATAATTTAGGTAGGTTTGGCTATGGGCTGAAATCTTAACCTGTTATATGTATTTTCTCACAACAGTGCAAGAGAAAGAAAACTAAAAAGTTTCCAAAATCAATGGACTAAGGACATTTGTTAGTTGAATATTCAATCGAGATCAAATGGTATTATCAATGAACACTAAAAGCATAACCAGCCCCATATTATTTACACAAACATCCATTTATAGCAAGTATTTTCCCATAATGGTTGAAGGGAAAGAAAAGAAAAAGTATAGGCCTAAATCAAGCAAAGATCATAGTCATCCATATAAATTGCGGGGGTTTTTTAGGTTAACCTTACCTGATTCTTAGCCTGAATCATGTCTTCCATATTTATAGGCCTCAAGGTAATCACGGGCTCTTCTTTGTCCTCCTTAGCACTAGAAGCAGCTTCTGAGCTTTGACCTTCAGCATCTTTCTCACTCTTGTCCTAAATTAACAAAAAATTTTACGTTCGCTTAGTCAGCTAAGAGATAATGATTAAGTTGAGAAGGCATGGGGAGATGATGTTTTTAGTCAAGGAAATTGCCTTCTCTTTTGTATCCTCTTTGGCACTTGAAGCAGCTTTTGAGTTTTGGCCTTCAGCCTCTTCTTTATTCTTCTCCTTAAATGAGAGAAATTTTATGCTAGTCAGCTAAAACATGATAATTAGAATGAGAGGGCACATTGACATGATGTAACAAGCCAACATTGTCAAGTTTGGTTAGTAACATTACCAAAGCCTCCAACTTCTCCTGTTTTATTAGCTCCCTAACAGGTCGATAAGCGGCAGCAGTGCACAAATTCTATTTAAAAGAAATTAAGTGTCACGAGATGGCGGCCAAATGTTATAAGTAGTAAAGTAGAATCACAATATGAAAAGGAAAGACAAAACTAAGAAACCTTGAGGTCGCTTCCAGTATACCCCTCTGTCATGACCGCAATCTCCTTCAAGTCTAAATTTTCAGTATTTTCCTTACTTAGAAGGGTTTTCAAGATAATCTCCCTAGCCTCCACTGATGGAAGACCAACCATGATTCTGCTCAACATTGAAAGTTATGAAGATATCAATCCTAAAATCATAACAATGTGGATTTAAAAATTGAATTATTCAATAATGTTACTAAGAGATCAAGCCAGAATAAATTTTCCAAGAGATGCTTTATAGAGTTTCTGAATGGTTATAGCTTGCTTATGCAAAATTGAGACTGAGACTTAATTATCCATGCAAGAAACATATTGGACAAGCACAAAGCAAGGACTCATAAAGATAAGAATGGTTAGAGATTAGAAGTTTTACCTGAAGAGTTGGGAAAATATAGAAAGTAACAAAAGTGTTTGTCCTCAAAGGGTGTCACTGGTATGTTATGCGTAACATCTTGATCATTTGAAGGCTAAAAGTTTCACTTATTGAAAGCTAATCTTTCTGTTTCTTTATGAATACGTAGCTACTAATAAAGGTCATGTATGCATTTGTTCTCAAGCCAAAAGTAATAAAAGAATCAGAAGTGAATGAAGAAGACTACCATGAAGACACATATACCTTCGCTCAAATCGCCTTATGATTGCATCATCAAGGTCGAATGGCCTATTGGTTGCAGCAAGAACCAGAATTCTCTCATCTTGTTTTGTCAATAGACCATCCCAATGGGTCATGAATTCATTCTTAATCCTCCTCGTAACCTCATGCTCTCCATGTCTTGCTCGACTCCCGAGCAAGCTATCAACCTCATCAATGAAAATGATACTTGGAGAAACCTTTGCAGCGAGAGAGAACAGAGCACGGACATGCTTCTCAGATTCTCCAAAGCACTTTGATGTGATGGTAGACATGGAGACATTGATGAAACTAGCTCCTGCTTCATTGGCAATTGCCTTTGCAAGCATTGTTTTTCCAGTACCTGGAGGTCCAAAGAGCAATATGCCTCGACAAGGCTTAAGAAGCCCACTTTTGAAGAGCTCTGGTCTTCGAAGTGGAAGCATGACTAGCTCTTGTAGTGATTCCTTAATTTCCTCTAAAGCACCAATATCTGAGAATGTAACTCCTATCTCATTCGCAGGGATAAGTTCTTCTCTTATATGCCCCTCATGCTGATTGTCTGGACGAACTTCCTGCCAGCACAAAATTAAACCAAAACTGAAATACCAGAATGAAGTAGCCACATAAAACATTGGTTAAACGCTCCCTTTATGCATAATTGCACTCTCAACCAGCTGAGTTCTATTGCATAAATCTAGAATATTAGTCTTTCACCATCCATGTAATCTCTTTTTTTCTTTTTATTCTTTGGAATGCCTTGTCCTGGTCTATTTTGCTCTTACTCATGAGTTTGAATGTAAACGTACCTTTTTTCCCCTAGTTTCTTGCTTCTTTCCACTAGTCCCTTGCTTCTTTCCCTCGTCCCTGCTTTCCTTTTTGCGAAATAGATCCAAACCATGGCACAAGCTGTGAATTCCCAAGATCAGTCACTAGAACATGTTTTCCTTAAACAAATAAACAACTGGTCCAAACTCTTACCTTTCAGATGATATTACAAGCTTTTGATTCCGATATTCTGGATCCTTGATATTCATCAAGTAGTAAGATATTGCGGATAACACAATTTCTTCGATATGTTTACTTAGTATCTTTGTGTCCTCATGGCTAATTGAATTCAAGTCTCTACATTCAACATCATTTTCTGCCAGTACATCAGCAATGTGGTTTCTGTTATCTTGAGACTCAATTGTTTTCTTGTTCTCTTCCAGCTGGGCTTTCCATTCCTTAAGATCATTTTCATCTTCTGGTGGCTTGATCTTAATGATGTAAGGGAACAATGCTACAAGCCTTTCATCAACTTTTGAACATTTATTCTCTTTGCGAGACAACACTATGTATGGTGGGAGATTTCCTATAATCACAGGCAACACAACCTTTGTATTAACAAATAATATTATCACTTTAGAGAACACAGACTAATATATATTATGTCCCACTTGGCCATAATTCGTTTTAAATTTCAGAACACAATTTCAAAACAAATGCATTTGGCTCCTACATTGATCATTTAATGAATAAAAAGATCATAAACAAATGTTTCGGGTTCTCAAATAAAAAATTGGCCTTTATTTTTCTGCTTTTCCAAACAACTGTATACTCTTTCACCAACTAACTTTGCTTTTTTAGTTCTTTACTCATATTCTCAATTCATTACAAAATGAAGCTTTATGATGAACTCGAACACAAACACACACACATCACTTTTTCGGCAAATAATTTTTGTAATAGTTCCATTTTCCTTATGTATCCGGTCTTGAAATAATATTCGGATACAAATTTTGCTAGCCTTACCAGGTTTTTTGGTTTGGACAGCGATCTTGGAACCGAGTATCAGCACTGGCCCTCGAATTTCCCCCAGCATATCATTAAACAACTTATACAGTTGCTCTGATTGGAGGAAAATCTTGTCAACATCCCTAATGTACAAGATGATGGAACTCTTTTCTGACACAGAAACCAATACCTGGAAGAATCATATTCATCCTACCAGTTAGCTAGAACCAATTACTGAGAAATTCCCATTTCTTCTTGAAGCCATGATGATGACAGTACCTTGTAAAGCAACCGCATAAAGAGTTTTTCATTGATACACAAGCTACTTTTCTGCTTAGCTGTGGTTGAAGATTCAGAGCAATAAGCAAGAAAACATTTAGTTTTATGTACAATCAATCATAAAATAGGCCATTAACTATTTTTGGTGGATTAAGAATGGCAAAAATGTGATAATTTAAACAATAGATGGATTTGCTAATTAAAGCAATTAGCAGGAAAGAGGTAAGTAGTGCCAGTGTGTGCATCTGAATTAAAATACAGGGTTATTGAAATTAAACTGGCGAAGGATGAGTAAGCCCAGAACTTGCAGACCATGGCAACCTATAGTTTTGCATATTAGTCTAATTTTAATATGGTTATCTTACGATGGAGAGAAATCTATCAAGAATATGAATAATATGCACATGAACTAAAACAGTAGAACAGATAGAAATGAAAATGCGTTCAAGTATAACCAGAATTTGCCGGAGCAGATTGGGAAGCAGTAGTCGCACGAATATTTGAAGTGATATTGGGACTTCCAGTAGCATTACTGTGTTTCTGAAAAGTGCCTGCATAAAAGTAGTCAATCAATATACACTAATGTGGTATCATACAAGTTATAGAAAGAGGCCAAGAACTGTGAATATTACCATAATCTTTTCCAGGATCATGAGTTCATGATTATGATTACGGTAAGAGATATTTAACATTGAACAAGAATACAATACCGCTAATTGCTGAATCAAGCATGGCTAAATCAGTCTTAAGCTCCCCATGAAATGTAATTTAAGGCTAAGAAATATGGGGCAAAGGCCTGTTTCTTCCCTCCCTACCTTTAGTTTTGCCATTTGAAGAGAGGACAGAACCAAGCAAATCCGACACTCCCTGGGAAGCCACCTCAGATAAGGAAATTTTAGAAGACCACAAACAAAGCAAATGAGTTAGGTAAATCACCAGATAAACCAACTCAAATGTTTCTGACTTTGTGATTCATTGTTAAAATATGACCAAAAAGAGAAAATGGAGAAAAAGCATATTTTTATGTAAAAAGGGAAGTATCTTCAGTCTTTAGTGCACACCATGACAAAGAGGGGGGGAAGAAACAAGCAAATGCAGAGCAGGAAGACTTACTGATTCTTTTCTTACACATCCATATTTGCTTTGTATCTGCAAAAGGGAAATAGGCCAAATATGAATGTTAGCTTACTCAACAAACAAAAGAAATTGCAAAATGAAAATAATCACCTTGGAAGAGAAGTCAGCTACATCTAGTAGCAGCAACTTTGATTCAAAATGATGTGCTAAAGCCCTGGCAAGCGTTTGTACGTAAAATTCTGCCCAAAAAATTTGAAAAATGAAAATGAAGCGAGTATGAGAGTCAAACCGACATGACATGAGACATCTTCATAACATACCCGCGGGTCCAGAAAGCAGAATTGCCCTGCTTGCTGGTGAAAGGTTCCGAGTGTGCTTGGAAAAGAAAAGTTGCCTTAAATGAACAGATGCAGCACTTTTCAATAACTCTCGAGTTCTTTCACTGTCAATGCGGCGGAATAAGACTTGTGTTATATACAATGGTAATAATAACTCAGACTTATATATGATTTGAAACCTGAACCAGAAGGAACATGTTGTTTACAAAGTCCCACTCCAATTAAGAATAAATGTCTCAAGTCAAGCACATCAAATTCCTCCAAAGTAGAACAGATCACTATGTTTACCAGTATATTATTACATAAGGAATAACTTCGAACCGTAAAAGTAAAATTAAAAAACTAAAAGAGTGCAGCTGAGCAGAATATTCCTGGATGAGGAAGACCATATATATTCGGAAAAAGTAAATGCTCCAGATTGCAAGAAATGTTCAAAACTTTAGATCACCTTAAGTAATACGGAAACTCTTGAAAAGTTTCTTTGCATTCCTTTCCATCGATCACCTGCCTCAAAAGCTCCTGCTCAATCTGTTCACCATAAAGCTCATCACCAGACTCGCGAATCCCTCCAAGCCCTGAGCTCAACCCAAGGCTTGCTCCGAGACCAACCCCAACACCCAATGCTGACAGCAAAACGTGCTTGTGCTCCATCTCTTTGAAACAATTTGCTCCTAACCTCTTCTGAGCTAGCAAAACTCCACTCCTTTTAGCTCTGGTTTTGGAAAAATACGCCGAAGGCTATTTGGCAGTTCAAGTGCCCACCATATGTGCGACCCTCTTCACCCCTCCCCCCATATAATCGAAGTATGACTTGACGTGAGTGCGTAAATTCCTAAAAGGGAGAAACTTAGCTCAGAAGTTGTTTAGAAAGAGAGACGTGTGGATTAAGACGACAAAATTAATCCATTAGTCCCAGCATTTTAAATTCATTTTCAAGAATATATTTGCTCATTTAAAATCAGTCCCCACTGTTAGCTACAGTTTAAAAGGGAGTCCTTATGATTCATCGTATCTAGACAACAATGCCACCAATGCATACCTCGCATTAACGCTGTTTAGTAACTGCTGAGGTGGCGCGAAACCAAAATTGAACAATGATGTGGCACATATGTTGCATTAAAAATGTAATGACGATTTTGATAATTAAAATGCACACTTGACCTCTGCTTTGTATCAGAATGTTACTGTTAAATGCAAGAATAATTCAGTCTCCAGGGCAAGTGGGATGAGGCAATAATGTGGGAAATATAATTCATTATTTAATTTAGCTTTACGAAACATGCTAAAAGCCCGGAATTCTATTCCCTTTCCATTTCCAAGGGAGCAATTCCATCTTACCAAACGTGACCAACCCAAAGATTTCATTTCCATCTCCTTAGTTCTCATTTTTAACCTTTACTCACCACCACCCACCTTCGTAGCCTTACTCATCGCTGATGTCCACCCACCCCCCCAACCATCTGCTCACTCACCGGAGACCACAGCGATGACGGCGAGGACGATGCGGCGGCCATGACGGCGAGGGCGATGCTGTGGCGAGGACGATATGGCAGCGATGACGGTGATGCTTGTTCGTCGACGAGTCAAAATGAGAAATCATCATCAAAGATGCCCACTCTCTTGCTTGAATGCTCTCGAATCCGGCCTCCACCCTCATTTACGATTTTGCTAGATCTAGTTCTTGATCTTAGGCGTCTGGGTTTGCTGACCGGTGGGACGGAGTGAACATTCACTGGATACTCCTCCCTCCATGCTTGATGTGTCAAAGGCGGAGATGAAGACTTCAAAGGGGATTTCAGATCTGCCATGGAGTTTGAATTCTTTGAAAAGGAGATGAAGATCTTAAAATGTTGCCGTGCTGCCTGTGGCGATTTGTGCCGGAGATGAAGATGGGAATTTTTTTAATTTTTTTTAATTTATAAGGACATTTTGGTTTTTATATATAAAAACTTGGTCTCATTTTTTTTGGGTGAAAAGGTCTTATTTTCATAACATACCAAACATACTTTTAAACCTCATTTTCATGTTTATTTCTATCTCCATGTTCATGTCCATTTTCATTTCCATCAAAATCAATTCCACTGTAGCAAACATTCCCTAAAGGTAAAGTTCTCCTATCCCAATCAGCATTGTCAGAGGGAAGCGAACAACTTTCCCTGTAGAAACAGCGGCCTGCATCCCTCTCTTTCTATTTCAATGTATCAGATTTGCCTGACAAATATGATAGATGTTCACTTTGACAAGGAATGATAAAAACGACAAAAATTAGTGATAGATTAATACTTTTTTTTTTTTGGGTGCTAGTTGCCGACTATACCTCCACTCATTGAAGTTTTTATCGATAGAAAGAGATAAATCGTTAAACGATGATCATTCGTGGAATCTGAACCAATTGGTTGCTTAGATATAAAACGACCAAAGGTCTCAGTAGGGATATAACCGGCCGACTTGCTAGGAAACTGGAAAAGTCATTACTTATAAAGATAAGATTTTGTTTATTAATATAAGATCTTGTTTCAACGTATATTATATATCTATTATTTTTTCTTAATTAATTTATCTAATTTATAAATTGATATATAATCTAATATTATATTTATTATAATTAACTAAGTTAATTAATTTCTTAAGTATTGCAAAATAATTATGTACCTCTTATATTAAAAATATGAGAGTGTCAGAATTTTTTGTTTTTTCAAGAGAGAAGTTTCAATTTGGTATCTAAATGTGTTAGGTAAGGAGAATCTTGTTTCCTTCCATTTTGGCTGTGCTTGTTTTTAGTTGTTGATTTATGTTGATTAGACGTCATTAGCTAACCTTTATTCCTTCACACAAAAACATCACCACATGTTTATGCTCCCTCCATCCTCAAAAGACAAAATTTTAGGCGTAATATTTGCATATAATATAATACTACTTCCGATCGTAATTATAAGATCCTGTCTTAGACTACAAATAAAATCTTACAATTAGGATAATAGGTAGTAGCAAAATTATACAAAACTCCTCACATCACCTTTAGGTCACTTACCCATAACCCCTTCCTGACATTTTAAGATTTAAACTTCACACCCTAACATTTTAATTTTTTTCAATATTCACTGTGTTATGTTCTCATTATCTTTTTGACAAGAATCAACACATCAGATTAATAGAAGACACATGAGATCCTGTTCGTTGGGGGCCAAAAAAAAAAAAGACAAGACACATTGCACCCTACATAATATTCTATGTAAGTGAATAATTTTATAAAAACTCCTGAACTTAAGACTCGTCACATATACATCTTAATATTTCAAAATTTAAATTTAATTTTTTAAAATTTAGAGAGATATGTTATGCAGTTGAGGAGGGCATTTTATAAAATTATTAACTCACATATGATGCATATAATGTGTCATGCTTTTTTTGTTAATTTAGTGTGGCAATTTCCGTCGAAAAAGATAAGGCTGCATAATGACAATGGGTTCACGATTAGAAAAAAAATAAAAGGTCAGAGGGGTTAAATTTAAACTTTGAAATATTACCGGGCGGTATACAACTGACCCTAAGCTTAGAAAAAATTTGTATAATTAATTTAGCCTATTCTAATTGACAATTTTTTAAGAATAATTAATAATTTTTCTACAATACTCCTCATAAATAATAAAAAGACATGACCCACATTAAAGTAAAGATAAGAAAATGGTGAGGGTAGACATGAAAAGATGAAAAATATTTTAAGACACAACATAAATTTAAATTATTTTACCAGTAGTATGTGTACTAAATGAAATAATTTTTTCCTCATGAAAAAGAATAGAGAATAATTTGCATACGTTGTACGGCAATTACTTTAGGCAAAACCTGAAGCCCTCCACTAACATAAAACACTTAAAAGGCCACAAAATGGACAAAAAATGTTTATGAAAGTCTGTTTGATTTTAAAGAAATTGTAAATCTTCTTGGGAGTGCAGCGGAGTTGAGGCTAATTGCCTAAAATAAATATATCCTTTTAGGTTCATTTAAACCAAAAATTAATAAATTTTACAAGCTCAAAAATAGATTTTTAGGATATGATAATTAGGTGATAAAGGTTCAATATAATGAAAATTAAGTTCTTGAATTTTGTTTCTGGAAATGAGTTGCAAAAATTAATTTAACTAGTTGTAAATTAAGACATGTATGTTTGAAATATAATTCTCAATTTATAACTGAGATTCTCAGTTAGAGTTATTTGAAGTTTAAATTGGTAAAAATCATGTTGATCAAAACCCTACAATTTTCATATATCTTATCCTTGACAAATTGCTTTGAAGATTCCCAGTGATGAAAATAATGACATATAACTCATTCCTTGTGCATTGCTTTGAACTTTCTTTCCTACAAAATGAAATACTACCTCCGGTCCTAATTATAAGACCTAATTAACTAGTTTGAGAAGATTAAGAAAAAAGTTAAGTTAGTTATTTGTAATAAATAAGTGTTATCTTTTCTAAAATATCCTTACTAATCAACTATATTGGTTGGAACTACAATTATTAGAAGGACTACTTTGGGAAAAAATGTATAAATATAAGAGATAAAGTGGATTGGGGTCTTATATTTAGGACAAAAATAAAAATCAAACAGGATCTTATATTAAGAACCGGAAGTAGTAATTAAAAAAAATCTACCGAAAGTAGCCACAGACACTGTATTATTGGTTGTTATAGTCAAGAGTCTTTGTTTATCTAAAGCAGGAAAAAAAAAAAAAAGACTTTGAACTTCTTTTAATTTGAGCCGCTAATAACTTGTGCTCCTTATCTGTTCTTTAATTTTCTTTTTTGTCCCTTTAATTATGAGACAAGTTTCATTGCAATTTCTAAAATCATTAGGAGGTAAAATTATTCAACTTTAGATCAGTCACCTTCGTCATATATTATTGCTTTTTTGGGTTTAATTCGTACCTTCTTCTATTCTAATTATAAGTGTTAATAGAAGGGTTTATTTTGATTCTAAATGTAAAACTCTGATCAACGCACTTTATCTTTTAAATTTATAAACTTTTTTCCTAACTCTCCTTATTAGTTATACATATTAAATGATTTTCTTTACCAGATTGATTAAATAGTTTTCAACAAAAAATAATTAAAATTGAAAATCAATACACAATTTTTATACTTAAAATTTTAATATATACAAATTAGTTATGTAAATTTTATATTTAGAATACGAGACGTACAAGATAAGAACTGTATTATCGCAATGGGAATCAACGGAGGCAAAGTTGGATCACCCTTGTGCCCAGAATATTCCTTTTTGATTATTCAATTTAAAAAAAAAAAAAACATTGCCGAAAGTAATTATGAACACACAGAAAATATGTGGGGTTCTAGTCATCAGGCACCAGTGTCTTAAGCCAAGGCATTGACTAGACTTCTGTTGTGGAGTCCGTAACAAAGCTTATTATTATTTATCTATTTTTATTTTTTTGGGATGTTTCCCTTCAATTTCTCACCATGTGAATGAAGATACGGAAGTGAGTTTCCATCTTAACTGTGTTTCTTTTTAGTTGTTGACTTGTGTTGACCAGATCATTTCAGACAAAACCCATGGGAGGAAGGATAAAAAAATTGAGAAAATAACATAAATACTAAAAAAAAATTACTAATGATAAGTGAACAATTGGAATCTGTTTATTATTATTTTACTCAAAAAAACCTGTTATTATTTT